TATGACCTTTTTTCTCTGCTTATTCAGATTAGGACTACGATGACTATGCTATCGCATATGCGAGCTCATTCATAGGTGGGGTATTTGAGTCATGCATCATGTAAAGTTGAGCCATTGACCACTGCGTAACCCACTATAATGGGCGTCAGGGGACAATATCCTGTGTGTATCTAGTCGCGTTTCACATGTTTGTAAGCGGTTAATGAACAATGGGCAAAGCGTTTCGTAGCAAGGCTCACTTTTTATGGAGCAAAGTCTACGGTACATGAAACGGTTAGGAATTGAAAAGATCGCTACACCCCATATGGATGAAGAATAAACAGCACACAAAAGCAAAATATCATTGTATAATCAATGTTTCAAAATACGTATATCCCTGAGATGCTTTTTAGGAAGACAATTATGTTAAACAAAGCTGTTATGCATCAACCTTTTTCAACAAAGGTGTCGTTCCTCTTGTTTTCTTTTTGCAAATTAACTGATACGTAATTAATGTCGTCTCAGAGGAAAAAACGTTGGTGTAGCGAGTGACTGAGTGGAAATCTTTGAAGCCACTTTAACTGTCTGGCATTAGTTGATGCATAATAAATGAGGTATTTCCAGTGCATAAACAGCAATTTTTCCTCCTCAGGTTCGCGCGAATCCTTCCGTGTGGAATTACCACGCAATGACGCAAGTGTCCCCAATAGTAAAAAAGATGCAGTGGGGCTCGATTGTGGTAGAGCGCCTGGATGAGAACGGTGTTGTTGTACCGAACGCTGAAGTTTCTTATCGCGATGCCAAGTTATGGCCTGGTGGAAGTCGTGCGTGGGATTGGCGCGAAACTGGAACCGGACACTTTCCGGGAATTCAAACCGCAGACGTAGAGGAACTCCTGACCTACAATCCGGAAACGGTAGTGCTGAGTCAAGGTGTGTTACACGTACTTCAGGTTCCGCAGGCCACCGTGGATTATATTCACAAAAAGTGCCCTAATGTCGAAGTACTTGTCCGTCCAAGCAAGAAAGCGTTTGAACTGTACAATGAATTGGCATCGAAAGGTGTTCGAGTGGCGGCTTTGATACACACAACCTGTTGATTCCTGTCGGGTTATTATCATACACTTCTCATCCGAACATATCAGCATTATCATTGCCTTCTCCTCAAATACTTTTAACCCATTATTGAAGTGATTTGTTTGTTCGGTCATTTTTCCCTTCGCTTTATGATGGAATGCATACTGCAAGATGCAATTGTATCATTGTCCAATAGTGGGAACTAACCTGGGAATACAATGCTTTGCTATTCTTCAAATGAAGTTGTCGCAGTCGGCAACTTGGATTGAAATACACATTTCTTTCACTTCAAAGTAGGCTATGACGGTCTTTGAAAGCTTCGGTACTGTCTGGGGGCTTCTTGGATAGTGACTCTTGACCCTTTTTTACACCTCTCGAAGTGCTTTTATATTACCAAGCATACAAAATAACCTCTGCTGAGGAAACTCGATTCACTTCCTTGACGTTCCAGGTATCCTCCCGTACAGGTCAGAGGACGAAAAGCCAAACAGTTGATCGATGAACTAACTGATGATGACCTAGAGGAGTTTGAAAAATATCCTGAATCCTAAGCCACTCGGAAACGTACGAACCACACCTTCGGAGTTGTAGTGATCACTGGTTTGGTTGGTCATCCTGGACGTTTAGACCAATCCAGAGGGCATGCGATCCAACTAGTTGGGCATCAGCCCTTAATGAACTGCGGACTCTGAGTTCCGCCTTCTGCCTTGTAAGTCTGACTTCGATTAGAGACCCTAATTTTAACCGCTTATTTGGTCAATCGTTAAATAGCATGATCTGATACCATTTGGGCATCCGAAATGCTGTGGCACCTGTCCAATTTTTATTCAATTCATCACAGCAAACAAAAATGCGCATTCAGGCCTCCCGGGGGGCGGGGTGCATCCTTAATGATCAGTCAAAGCAAAGCAAATCTCGCTACTGGTATTAACGTGTGCAGTGAACAAATTCCCGAATATCGCTCAATTCTTATATATATATATATATATATCGCGATTGTCTGCCCTGCTGTATTTAATCTACTGAATGGTAACAGGATTGCTCACTGAATCTCACTGTGTTCGGCTGAGTACAAAAGAATGAATATCGGATTTGGAGTTTGTGAATGACGTCGGTGAGCTAAGAGATACGCCAACGGTAACGCTTCGGATACCCAAACGCATTCACCTCTTGTAAACCCAGAATCCCAAGCGAAACCTATTAATAACGATCGGGTTTGCAGAATAGCACCCTTCAATTATCTTGACTGCACCGTCATTTCAGATATATAAGCGAAGACGGATAACGTTCCGTGAGTGTACAGTGTTCTCACAACTCAGCAAG